GATGGGACGGGGGGGGAAGGTGTTGGGGGACCAGAGGTTCCCCTTTGGGGGGGATTGAAAATCAGCCAGACGGTTGGGGGCAGGGGGTGGGAAATGGGGGTGGGGGCTCAACTGACCTGTCTCTATAGCCTGGGGCCCCCAGACTGTGCTACTGGGAGGGTTTCACAATAGGTCAGTGGTTGAGTGTTGGGGGGGAGGGGCTAGGACAGGGCTGCAATAAAATGACCAAACATTTGCTTAGAGCCCAGCCCCAGAAATGTGGGGCTGGAATGAACCTTGAGAGATCTAGTCCAGCCCCTACCACACTGGTGTTTGCCCAGCCTGCCCTTGCAAGGTTCAATGAGGGTGATTCCAGCTCCTCCCCTGATAACCTATTCAAGTACTTCCTAGCCCTTTTCACAACTGACACACGCATGCTATTTGTACGCCACTGTGACCCCCAGATCACTGTGTCATGCGGCCCTCCTTTTGTAGTTGTGTATTAGATTTTTCCTTCCCTACCTGTGGTAATTTGCACTTGTCTATTGAGTGTCCTCATGTTCTTTTGTATCAATTCTCTAATTTATAACTTTCATTTTTAATTCTATTCAAAAGAACATAAGAACGGCCATACTGGGTCAGACCAGCGGTCCATCCAGCCCTGTATCCTGTCTGCCGATAGTGGCCAATACCAGATGCCTCAGAGGGAGGGAACACAACAGGTAATCCTCACGTGATCCCTCCCCTGTCACCCACCTCAAGAGAAACAGAGGCTAGGGACAACATTTCTACTTGTTGATATCTGCAAATTTTATAGGCATACTCTCAACTCCATTATTCACATCCGTTAATTACGCTATTGAATCGTACCAGATTTGGGACTAACTCCTGAGGCACCCTGTTAGATACATTCTCCCAATTTTATAGCAAACCATTAATAATTGTTCTTTGAGTACAGTCATAGAACCATAGAGCTGGAAGAGACCTTAGAAGGCCATCAAGTCCAGCCCCCTGCCCAAGGCAGGACCAATCCCAATGAAATCAACCCAGCCAGGGCTTTGTCGAGCCGAGACTTAAACACCTCTAGGGATGGAGACTCCACCACTTCCCTAGGGAACCCATCCCCGTGCTTCACCACCCTCCTAGTGAAATAGTTTTTCCTAATATCCAACCTGGACCTCTCCCACCACAACTTGAGATCATTGCTCCGTGTTCTGCCATCTGTTCCTACTGAGAACAGCCTCTCTCCATCCTCTTTGGAGCCTCCCTTCAGGAAGTTGAAGGCTGCTATCGAATCCCCTCTCACTCTTCTCTTCTGCAGACTAAATAGACCCAACTCCCTCAGCCTCTTTAAAAAATTGTGCATCCAATTTGTACTTCTTTCATGTACACCACATTTTCTTGTGCAAACGCATGGGGGAACCTCAGTCACAATTAATTGTTCGCTGTTCCAAGATTGCTTCAGCTAATTCCTCGAGTATGAATGAATAGGATGAGTTTCATGAGGCCCTGCTGACTGTATTACATCTAACTTACATATTTTAACCTGTTATTTTCCCATTGTGGTTTCTATTCCTTCCTCTTCTTGGTTAAGAGTTATTACGTTAAGTATCTGGTCAGAGTTAAACTTTTTTAGTGACTAAAAAGGCATTAAGTGCTTCTTGATATAGTGTTATTAACTCTCCTTTCCTGGTGAGCAGAGACCTAGCTTTTCTTCACTTGTTACTTCCTCCAAATCTATTTACAGAGCCCTTATCTTACTGTCTGATATCACTTGCTTGGTGTAACTCATTTCATGATTGAATCTTTCCCCCATGCTTTTGCTACATTTTTTCACTCATCCATAGTAATGTATCCGTGACTCCACTTTTTTAGGATTCCTTTTTAA